AAATCATCAAGTGGTCAGCACACATGTAAAGTCTTTAAAAATAGACAGGTCTATGAACAATAAATCAGAAATCATCAAGTGGTCAGCAGACATGTAAAGTCTTTAAAAATAGACAGACATATGAACAATAAACCAGAAATCATCAAGTGGTCAGCACACATGTAAAGTCTTTAAAATAGACAGACATATGAACAATAAATCAGAAATCATCAAGTGGTCAGCATTCATGTAAAGTCTTTAAAATAGACAGGTATATGAACAATAAACCAGAAACCAGAAATCATCAAGTGGTCAGCACACATGTAAAGTCTTTAAAAATAGACAGACATATGAACAATAAACCAGAAATCATCAAGTGGTCAGCAGACATGTAAAGTCTTTAAAAATAGACAGGTCTATGAACAATAAACCTGAAATCAGAAATCATCAAGTGGTCAGCAGACATGTAAAGTCTTTAAAAATAGACCGGTATATGAACAATAAACCAGAAATCAGAAATCATCAAGTGGTCAGCAGACATGTAAAGTCTTTAAAAATAGACCGGTATATGAACAGTAAACCAGAAATCAGAAATCATCAAGTGGTCAGCACACATGTAAAGCCTTTAAAAATAGACAGGTATATGAACAATAAACCAGAAATCATCAAGTGGTCAGCAGACATGTAAAGTCTTTAAAAATAGACAGGTATATGAACAATAAACCAGAAATCATCAAGTGGTCAGCAGACATGTAAAGTCTTTAAAAATAGACAGGTATATGAACAATAAACCAGAAATCATCAAGTGGTCAGCAGACATGTAAAGTCTTTAAAAATAGACAGGTCTATATAGGAACACCTATACACCACATGATTCAAGTGTTTACAGTAGTTCATCAAACAGGCTGATAATTTCCTTTGATTGAGTATTATAAACTGTCCAAAGTCTATAAAAGTCGTGAATAAAATAAATTTAAACAATTTAAAACAAATGTGGAAATACAGAATAACAAACATTAGCTATACATTAGATATAATTTTTTGGGATTTCAAACATAATTAATTAAAGTGGAAACAGCACTAATAAGTGTCGCTTCCAGTACTTCATAGAGGCAAGACAAAAAAATTACAAAGTAATTGTAAACCAGAAATCAGAAATCATCATACCAACACATTGTTTTAGGAAAATTTAAAGAAAAGCAAAATCCTTATAATATGAACACATATAGTATATGTATTTTCATCCTAAAATTCTTGCTTGAGAACCTTAGGAGGAATTATCTGGACAAACCATGTACTCTAATTATATATACATGTATATATAACTAAACAATAAATAATTCAAAAATATTAAAGAATCAAACTTGGTCTTCAATAATGCTATTTGAATCCATTCTAATATCATCATGATCATATTGCAAATTATTAGTTATTATTTTGATATATAATATAATCATGATAATTGTAACAAAGTAATTATTTGTTTACCCTTTGACACAGTATTATATATACATTCCTTTTTGGTTTTTAAGTAGTTTTCTGTGTTTTAATTAACTTTTTAATACTGGTTGATGAAATCAGAGCAGTGTGTACTTTATACAATTTTGACACCCATACTCATCTATTGAATATGCAATGTACGACTTGATAGAATAAGATAAGAACAGCAAATGTACAAGGTTGTTAATTTCTGTGTCATTTGGTTTCTTGTGAAGAGTTTGTCTTATTGGCAATCTTCATGATCTTATTCTTTTTTATATGGTGTAGCCTAAACTGTCAATAAATATATGCAGTTTTGAGAAAACAAAATAATTACAGAAATAGTGTTTCCTGCAGCTTTTAAAAAGGGTAGGGTAATTTTTTTCTCAGCACTCTTAGTGCGATTGGCCACATTTTAAGGGCATCCTTTGTGTGGAGGACTACACTTTCAGGCACCTTTTAGGGCACCCTTTACATAGATATAAAAGCACTGTTATGGATAGGGATTAAATTTTAATATACCATTGTTTCATACTTACTTAAAAATAAAGATATGTATTCAGATATATTAGGTTATTAATTGAATACATTTGTACCTTTTTGGAATAAAATTATCACTTATAGACTCAGCAAATGGAATCTTGATAGTGCAACTGCCTCATTTTAAAATCAAAACTCCAGTTATAAATTTTAATACTGATCCTTAACAGTCAGAGATATAACTCTATAGGGTTATTACAGAAAATAACTTGTGTGTGTTATCATGGTTATTACAGATACTTTCATGAGTCGTCTACTATTTATTCCTTAAATTTTCTACATCTGTAATAACATATGTTTGTTATTTGTAAAATAAATCAAAAATATTTTGATTTATAGTGGGCTCTAGGGAACTCTTGAGACTTTGCGCAGAAACTAAATGCATAGCCTTGATAACTATTTTTTTAATTAAATTAATACATTTTTGATTAACCATGGTAAATCAATGAGATGAGGCTTTTAAGGGATAAACTTAGCTGTAATAACAAGGCTTAGTTATTAAGGGAATGCAACTTATTATATGAGACACTTGGGAACTACTGGGAAGCTTGCGCAGAACCTCATTACATGCTCTGGTCATTATTTCCTTACAATAAATTAAAATATATTGTAATTAAGCATGATGTATGTCTGAGCAAATGCTTTGGAGTGATATAGAGAAGCTGTGATAACACCCTTTAGTTATTACAGGCATATTTTTTCTGTAATAACATAGGCAGTCAGGGGTACTACTTGTACAAGTAATCTTTATTCACTTGAAGAAGTAAATAAAATATACTTATATAAGTTAATTATAATGTTTGAATAATCTCCGCTTAATTTTCTCAAAAATTTACTTGTATAAGTAATTTTTTTAAAAAATCCCACAAAAATTCTCAAGTTTTGAGATGTAAAAACATGCCTTTAACAATTTTTCTCAGGTTAGCTCATAATTTTTGATTAGAGTTCAATGTTTCATCTCATTAATTCAACAAAGAAACTGATTGCGCAAGGCCTTCAAAAATTACCCCTTGGGGGCTTGTAAATGAGCAGTGTTCTGAAGATAACAGACAAATGAGATTTTCATTGTCCATGAAATTACACTTAAATGATTAGTAAAGACATCTGTAAAGGACAGACAATTAAAAAATTCTATTAGAGCAAAGAAGTCCTAAGAATTCAAGAAAAGAAGATAGGATGACTTTTTTACTTGTATAAGTAAAAAAATCTGAATGTCTAAGGGACATAACTAAGCCAAAAAATTATTTACCTATACAAGTAAATAAAATACACTTGTATAAGAATCCTACAAATTTACTTGTACAAGTATATTAATATTTACTTCTTCAAGTAAATGAAAATTACTTGTACAAGTAGTACCCCTGACTGATAGGTGTACTATGCAAAATTGGCAAACTATGAACTGTTATATCTTTCTATAGTTTAGTATACTTAAAGACAATAGTAATATCAATAGAACTTGCATACATTTTAACTAAACTAATGATGTATATTGTCCCTTTGAAACATGTAACATACATATGCTATCACAGTTCTTTGATTTTTAGTCCACAATAACAAATGTATGTTATTTTTCTGTAATAACCCTAAAGAGTTATATCCCTGACTGCTTAAGGCTGATTGTCTATAAGGATTTGTTGTAAAAGTGTCAAGAATTGCATCATCCAACCAAGAGTATACATTTGGGTTGTTGTCTCTTTGACACATTCCCCATTTCCATTCTCATTTTTATGTACATGTATGCATTGCTTTTTAGCTGCATAAAAGACACATGAAAGAATTAGTGACAAATACCTTTTGGGTCTGACATGATTATCATGATTACACCAAATCAAAGCTACAATTACCTTGCCTCATATAACTGTACAAAACTTTCATGTTGACTTTTGGGCTGTTCTGTGTTTTTTTTGTTTTAATTGAAATGGTGTTGATTTTTCATACTAACATGACTAATCAAACTAAAACAGCTATTCTCTTTAAAGACTTAACTTTTTTATTTTATTTAGTTAACAGTAATTAGAAAGCCATCTTAAATTCTCACCCAATTCGACATTTTGACCAACCGAATAGTTGAAGTATGTGAAGTCAGACAGGTCATACATTTTGTACTTAAAATGAAAATATAAACAAACAGATGATTGTTTACTATAACTAAAACAATCGCCTGGTTCCCTTTTAAATTGTCTAAATTTTAAATTCGTAGAGGTACAAAGTTGATGTTGTCCTTATAAGTTTCAATCATGAACCGTATTTGTACTCGGTACTTCATACATTTATAAATGTTCAAACATAATTTCTAAATTCAATAAAATGTCGGCCATTAAAATTTTGATTTCCTCCAACATTTGCCCAAAGGGAAAAATAACTCATAATGGTCTTACTTTAATAGGATGAATCACAGAGCTGATCTTAAATTACTGTAGGGTGTTATAAAATACGACTGAAAAGAGGGACTGCGCCAATTTTTTCCAACAAAAAGGGCAGGGCGTCAAGAAAAAACTGCAGAGCACCATGACTGCAAAACCTCCTTGAGAAAAAACACTAAGAAAGATATACACGGTAGTTTTTAATTGTAATAAGCAAAACGAGCAAATCACAGATCTGATACTAGTATTCTGGGTACACCTAGCTACATAATAAATATCTCATATATTATCATGGATTTTATATTACGCTGAATTAAATTCTCATCAGGATACTTCTTAAAATGAGGGAACTAAACATGGTGCAGTTTTGACCTGAAGACAAAGATAATATATAAAGGTGATTTTTTACAAAAACAAGTCTGATGACTGATGTGCACACAGGGGTTTGTTACAATTTGCCGGGTTTACTATCCATACGAACCCGGAAAAAACCACGTGGTTTTTCGGGGTTCGTATGGATAGTAAACCCGGCAAATTGTAACAAACCCCTGTGATGTGCATGTGCAAAAAAAAAAAAGTGTTGCATCATGCTGTCATTGAGTTAAATGACAGTTGCAATACACGTTTGATTATTACTCTGGGTTTCTTTTCTGTAATTGGTGCAAAGCGAACATTGAAGGTATCTGCAATGACAACAGCTTGTAGAATATCTTCTTGTTTTATGTCCGCTCCACGTTGTTTGCCTTTTCCTGACATTTTGCAATGTTTTGATATTTATTGAACTTCCGGCACTTCCGGTTTGTGGAATCGCCAACTCGACAACGTAGTTTACGACTTTTTTACCTGTTTAGCACTCTTAGAAGTCGTTTTGGGTAAGATATATTAAATACGACTTTATAAATTTGTCAAACCATTTTATGTTCGCCAGGAATCCTGGCTCACTGTTCGTCCCTATCGAAGCGAAGCAGAGGTGCCCAGGGCTCTTTTCACAAAAAAGCTTACGAGAAAAAAATAATAGAAAGTGATATCACTCACCTGAAAATTTTCAAATCTCCAGTTGTGACTTGACAACTCTGTCACCTGTATGTTAGTCATATAACGAACGATTACTGGCTAACTTTTACAAAATGTATATACACGGGGTCGCCCCGCTATACACCTTATCGCTATTTGTCCGCCATTACTGGACATCACACAAGTTCCAGTAAAATTTTGACGTCATAATAGAAAATATCTGACACCACAATGGAAAAGTGATTGTTGTATGACGTCAAAAGTTCGAGCGGGACTGATTCTCGGGTCAAGCGGGATTAGCGATAAGGTGTATTCCGACACCCCATCGGTCCGACTCCCCATTAGTCCGACACCCCATTTGTATGACACCCTATTTGTCCGACAGCCCAATAGTCCAACACCATATTAGTCGGACAACCCATTAGTCCAACACCCCAATAGTCCGACACATGACGTAATAGAAAATCTATATACTTCATTGAATCGATAGACATGTTTTTTTTGCTCACCTGGGCCGAAGGGCCAAGTGAGCTTTTCTCATCACTTGGCGTCCGTCGTCGTCGTCGTTAACTTTTTACATTTTGAACTTCTTCTAGAGAACCATTGAATGGAATGAAATAAGTCAATTGCTGTAAATTCAGAAATAATTGCGTGCATTTATTATTGCGATTTTTAAAAAATGGACAAAAATGCGAGATTAATTATTGCGATTTAAGGAAAATCAGCATACAGATGTATGTATCAGATATCAAAACGCGAGTTATTATTATTGCGATACTCACCCGGTCGCAATATTCCTATTAATACATTGTAATAAAAACCTCGCAATAATTTCTGAATTTACAGTAGTGTTACATTTTGTAAGTAAGAAATATTTGACCTGAATTAAAAAGTTGCAAATATTGACTCCTACAAGTCGATAAGTTACCAAAATTGGTCAACTTCAAGACCAGGAAAATAATCTTATGTTAAGTAAAAATGTTCAGTTAGGTAATTAAATATAGATAGCTCAGGTTCTTGTGAACTCTCAGACAGGTTAATGATGTCATAGGTGGTGCACTTTGGCCACCAATTAGAATTAAGTGTTTTCATAAACATAAATAGACCTAAAAAAGTCTGTCATTTTCTGACTTAAAAAAGTCTGAAAATGAAAACACATTTTTATAATAAGTTCATCTTTTGAATTCTGCAAGTCAATAACAAAAAACGACTTGTTTATGTCTGAGCTCTGACTGATGACTGGGAGTGTACTCTGAAAGCAGTGATAAATAGGCTTTTTATTGGATATATTCATTAAAAATCAAACTCTTAAAAAACAAAATAATACCTTATTGGTGTTCTTCCAGCTAAACAAATAATCGATCAATGGTCAACATTTTAATCGGTTGAATAGCATAAGCAAACATGATTTGTGAAAATAATTCTGTTCGAAAAGCCAAAGAAAAAGGACAAGGTAGCTAGAGAAACCCTAAACAGATAGTCATGTACATATCTTCTATTCAGACATGGAAAACGATATTGTTTTACACTAAATTTTTCTTGTTCTTTTTTATGTTTCAGAACCTTTTATCTTTTGGTGTAGAATTATTTTTTTTGGCATATGGGTATATATATCACCATAACAAATATGTGACTTGTGATTATTACTTATGCATAGCCTGCAACTTTTACATTGTGTAAAATCATAAATGTTTTGGAAAGTAAGGCTGTCCGTGCTATTCTGTAAAATTATTAATATTGTTTATAGCAAGAAAGGCATTTACTGGCTTTGTGCATGTCGAATTAACATTCAAAGGAATTAGCATTGATGAATTAATTCCAAAATAATCATTAACCTTTGCTTGATATCATTTGATTTTCCACAAAGTTTTTTCTAACCTCATAGGTGACTGGGGTATAGAAATAAGTTCATCTCTTGGTCTTCTTCCGACCGACAGTAAAACCCTTGCCAAAGTGGGGCGTCTGTTTTTCTGTGCAGGATGTTTGAGTTCGCAGTCACGTCCGGTCAGAATGAGGACATAAAATCGGATGCCTTGTGAAAAGAGGGTCTGTTTGCACTTTAAAAACCCTTATACAAACTTTTTGAAGGGTCTATATGTGACCTGTGGAAAGACTAATTCTTTCCCTATCCAGTATACCCTCATTTTCCAGTAGCATTCCAAATTTCCTTGCCCATCATTACGGGCGATCCCTATTACAGGACTTGCCTATTATATTTGTTGCTAATTAGTTCTCATCCTAAACATGCATGAAATATTCGCCACTGAAAGTAAAGCAAACAATCAATCGATATTAGTTCTTTCTTTAACTTCATACTTATAAGGAGTAAGACATGTTCCTGTTATATATGCAGCTATTTAAATATAACATAGTGGTTGGTATTATTCATAGTAAAGAAACATACTGATTTTATACAAAACTCCAATAACCTTATAATCTCATCGTTTGTCATGTCGAAGAAAATAATGATATCATTTATATGATAACTCTATTGTATTGTTATTTTACCCTATAACTATTACTATTTACTAAAACATATTTTGTAAACTCATATAGTCAGTAGATTCCTTAAGGGTAACACGCCAAACACAGAAGGGTATTGCATAGAACCAGTTTACTAACTGTTTGAAAAAGAGCAAAATTACGACAGAACACGTTAAGACAAATGTTCTGTCCTAATTTTCCTTTCCTTTTTTTTTCAATATTGGTGCCCATTTGACAAACTAAATAGGTGTTCTTCTTCTAATAAAGGTGTTACTGTTAAATTGTGCTAGCTCCTTTTTCTAAAAAATCAATTAAATTAGAACTATAAATTTAGTTAACACTTATTACTTATTATGACTTGAGTTATACTAGAAAAATATGCACGTCTTATTCACTTGAGCCATATTCACACATATTATCGTGTAAGCAATAAAAAAAGCTTGATTGGTTCCTTTATTTTCTTACTGCATCCCCTTTAACCTGTATATGAGAAAAGTGTATCCTGAGATATCTAATTAATACGACAACACTTTACAAAGTAGTTTGTGCTTTTAATTACGCTGGTGATGAAGTTCTTCTACTTTAGCACTAATATACCAACCTATTTTCATAACTTTCATCACCTGTTCCCACGAAGGATAAGATCCTTCTGACCTCTTAATATTGAACTTACCTTTTATTTTGGCTTTGTTAATAAATGTAAAAATAAATACTTTTTTAGAAATATTCCCTTGTCCGACTAATGAGGCGTCGGACTATTGGGGTGTCGGACCAATGGGGTGTCGGACTATTGGGGTGTCGGACCATTGGGGTGTCGGACTATATGGGTGTTGGACTAATGGGGTGTCAGAATATCAGGGCTGCCCCTACACAGAGAAAAGAATAATAGTAAGTGATATCACTCACCTGAAAATTTTCCAATCTCTGTCACCTGTATCATGTGTATGTTAGTCATATAACTAACGATCACTGGCTAACTTTTTCAAAATATATATACTCTGTCAGTCTCTGTGTATACATTTTTACATTTGTACCATAGAAGGTATTGTTATTAATTATACCAAAAGGACAAAGAAGAATCACAGATAATGAGCTTTTGTGAACAGAGTCTGACAAAATCTGACAGTCCTATAATCTGATAATCCACTATTTAGTCCGAAAGTCCTATAATCCCACAATCCTATCATGCCTATACTGCTATAGTCCGACAGTTCTATAAACTGACAGCCTGTTGGTGAGATAATCCAATAGCCGGATAGACCCACTTGCAGTCACTTGTCTCTAAAAAATATACCTATAGACGGGTAAAGTTTGTATACATTCAGAGGTATATTTGTGAAAAGACTTTAGTGCCTGTGGTTTGATGTTTCCGTTATAAATTTTTTCTGCACTACCAGGTGACTTACTCTTTGGTAGGGCATCCTGGTACTCGGTCAAGTAAGAGCAATGTAATTCACGACAAAATAATCGGATGACAGTAAACATTCTCCCCAAATTGTACCGATTGAAAGCTTTATTTTACTTTTTATACGCCCGTTTACGGGACGTATTATGGTATACCGTTGTCCGTCCGTCTGTCCGTCCGTCCGTCTGTCCGTCGTCAACATGTCGGACATTAACTCAAAAATGCTTTAACCAATTTGCATAAAACTTTGGTGAATTGTTTATATCTATTGACGTGAGCTCCCTTTCGTTTTTTATAAAATTTAGATTTTACGTTTCTGAGTTATGGGGTTTTATTCATTAAAAAAAGGGGGATTTTCCAGTTTTCGGACAATAAGTCAAGAATGCTTTCACCAACTTGCAAGAAATTGTGGTGAATTGTTTATATCTATTGACATGGGCTCCCTCTCGATTTTTATAAATTTTAGATTTTACGTTTCCGATTACAGGGTTTTATTCATAAAAAAAGGGGGGATTTTCCAGTTTTCGGACAAAAACTCAAAAATGCTTTCAGCAATTCTTATGAAACTTTGGTGAATTGTTTGTATGTATTGATGTAAGCTCCCTTTAGAATTTTATAAATTTTACATTTTACATTTCTGAGTTATGGGGTTTTATTCATTAAAAAAAGGGGTGATTTTTCAGTTTTCGGACAATAACTTAAAAATGCTGTCACCAATTCTCATTAAACTTTGGTGAATTGTTTATATCTATTGACGTAAGCTCCCTTTTAATTTTCATAAATTTCTAATATGACATTGAGAATTATTTGAACTTTATTTGTTTATAGTCTGACAACAGATTTACTAAGTATTGCACAACAGCAAGAAATCTTTAATTGACTATAAATTCAATTCATATAACCAATTTCAAGTTCTTTGACTACATTTATTCAGAAACCTACCGTATAATATGTCAAATATTTAATTACAATCCAAATTCAGACCTGAATCAAGCTTGAATATTGTGTCCATTTTTGCCCCAACTGTTCAGGGTTGGACCTCTGCGGGCGTATCTAGCTGCGCTCAGCGAAGCAGTTTATTAAGGTTGCTCTTAATTTAAATGAGGGTCAACATTAGTTATCTCCTCCCCGGGGGACAAGGATTTTAGGGTATGAAGAAAACTTAAAACAAATAAAGACAAGTCTTTAAGAAAAACTAATCTTAAGGAATGTTCTAGAACGTTAGTCTTTTGGACACGACAAAACCAAATGCATAACGTCATATCACAATTTTTCCAACGAAAAGTCTCTAGAATCACTGTGACCAGTTAATGTCTATATAATTCATCGTGCACTGGAATACCAATGTATTAACAACAAAAGTCTGATCTTCTTTGTTGATGTCATTTAAAGTGGGCACATATACCTTCAGGTGCTCTAATAACTGGATATATGTTCAGGAAAGGTATCAGTTATAAATGATGACTGATACCTGAAATGTATATAAACACAGTACATTAGTAAATTATTAGTTGTACTTGACAGAGTACAAGGATGTCCTACCACAGAGTAGGTAACCTGTCGAAAAATTGTAAATCCCAGAGTCAAAATTCGGAAATGTGAAAATAGTCTATTGCACCATTCTATCAATGTGTCGGGCCATATGCAGACTTAACTTTGTGATAAGAGAGGGCTTTAGAAAATTTTAACCTTCCCATGTATTAATCGTAGATTTACTAGGTGTTTGACACCAATTTATTTGGAAGAAAGATAGCTCGATTGCCCTGTAAAACATAAAACTTCTACGGTAGTATAAAAATAAGGGGTATAATTGCCAACGAGACAACTTAGCATATAACATCATGTTCACATGCTTAAAATAAATGAATGGTACAAAACCACAAAAAGATGGCAAAATGCCATTTTAGAGGGTAAGATTAGGTGTGTTTTACATGCTTTACACGCATCAACAAGAGTTTTGCCCTCCACCCATTCAGAGATTTATAAGTGGTCTAGATCTTGTTTATGTGAATCTTGAATATTCAGTATACTCTTGTATAGATCTCTGATGTATATTATACAGTGAAATACATTATTACATTTGGGATTTTCTTATCGGACCGGGTACAATGTGGTATATATATATATATATATATATCAGGTATATTCGATGTTGTCAGTATTGGTCAATATACAACCAGCCTCGAAAACAAACCAGGGCATTGCAGGGTGAATACAAAGATGCCAGCTCGTAACCCTTTTTTTATATCTGACAAATCAGTCAGTATACATGTAGTCATAGGGTGAAGGTAAAAGAAACTATCTGAAAAAGAATAAGCGGAAACATCTTGCTGATTTTGTGTTTGTTATTTTCGCAACAAAGCATCCATTATACATGCATGTTATATCACACAAACTTAACTGCAATTGTGAAACTTCATTTACTACACGCCTTATATGGCAACATTCAATCCAGAGCACAAAATTTTAAACCATCCTTTCATCAAGGGTATGATTTCAATTTGTTATAAAATCGTTAAATCTGGTCTCAAATGTAATTTTGATGCTATAAAGATTGTATGAAATTTAAAAAGGGGGGTGTATTTTCCCTGTTTCTCAGATCTGAAGTACCTGTTTTGGTACTTCCCATGTTCTGGGAATCAGTACTCTCTTAGATGCAATTAAAGGTATGTTGATTTTTCCAGTACATACAAGACACCATAAGGTGTTGCTTTGACATGCAATGACTGTCACTTTATTTTAACTTAAGACAAAAGAGCTTGAAATTTAGGAATTTAACATAGAGTGCAATGGTGCGATGAATTAGTGGTGTTCCTCTGTACCCTTTAAATAGCAAATGATTGAATTTGCCATTGCTTAAGCTGGGGTGGTGCTTCACCTCAGTTGACAATGTTTTCCTCGGGGTAACAATCTGCTCTATTACCCTCTCAGCTATGTGTTATTTATATAATGTCTAAGTTCTTCTGTGTTCCATTATATCTACAGCAGTTTATCAGAATAAATATAAAAATAAGAAGATGTGGTATGATTGCCAATGAGACAACTCTCCACAAGCATGACAAGAGACCAAATGTCATAGAAATTAACAATCACCGTACGGCCTTCAAAAGTATATTTATATAAAAAAAACTATGAGTGAGACTGAATGTCTAACAAATTAGAGTTTTTAGCCATTTATCTTCTGGAAAAGTTGCTGGGTTTTATGAATACGTAGCCTTTTAAGTAAAAAAAAATTTCTTTCAAATTTATCATAAATATATGATTGGAAAAATAAGCCTCATTTGATTTTGAGGCATAAGTATATTTCATGTGGGATCTATTCCTTTTTGTAGCGTTGTGTCCAACTTGTCAAACATGTGAAAATAGAAACTTAGAAGAAGTGCATCAGGTGTAATTCATTTGCATGTATACATGTTCAAAATTATAGTTATGACATATTTTAAACTTTATTCTCTGTTTTCCCTTTTATATTTGCCACGTTGACAAGTATCATGGGAAAAATTCTTTAACAGAATTATATAAGTAGGTTTTCATGACGAAACACTTAAGTCATCATTTAAATCTAAGATCATTCATTCATGACTGCCATGTGAAATTTATTATAAATACGTCAATTTTTACAAATATGAAAAACAATATTTGTTGTTTATTTTAAAGATTTACTGTTTGCATGATAAGAGTATTACATTTTGTGTTTGGATTTACTGAACAATAATGAAGCTTTGGTAAATATTTTATTTTTTAACATTAAGTAAATGTAGGTAAAGAAGAGAATTAGAGATTATGACAGAAAATTCGTACAATGAAATTCTGCATTTACTGATGTAGAACATATGAAGATATAAATCAGTATGTTATTTATAGGCCATATGAAAAAAAAAATGACTTGCAATTGTTATGACAGTAGTTACTTATGAGGTTATTATAATGAAATTATAATAAATAATTTTGATAGGCCATATGAAAAAATTAGTTTCTCGTTACAACAAGTGAAAATGCAGTAATAATTTTAAGTGGCATACAATGATAAGTTATTGATGCTGGTGAAGTTTGTATTGCTTAATCAGAGGCAGTTTTTTTTTTTGGGGGGGGGGGGATGCTGGAGCTTAATAGATGATAAATGCATACTTTTAAATAGTATCACTCCAAATGGTGGCTTTTTTATATTCAAAAAGTTCTAATATATATACCTGTGAACATTATGAAGTCTGGGTACTCCTCTTGAAAGGTACAAATCCTACATTAATTATGGAGAAATTATTGCTTGAAAGGTTTTTAATTTATCATGCTTACGGTTACAGACATTTTTAATCAGGGCACAATAAATGTATTTTGTTTGGTATTTAGATGGTGACTGATGGTCCCATGAATCCAACCTTGATAGGACATGTTCATTTAATTGTTACACGTATATATTTGTACATGAGTTGAAGATCTAGGTCCTGATGATTACACAATGTAATAAAGTGAATAAATCCTTATTTTGACCATTGACATCAGATACTTAAGTAAAATCATCAACATGATCACTGTAAACCCTCTTACTTCTGTCATAAAATAGGATTTCCTTATTTAATTATTTGGTTTTAGAATTAAAAGGATTTATCGTGTGTTACATTTTCTATTGAAAGATTTGATTGGTAAATGATCATAGAATGAATTTAAACATAAAAATTTAAATGATTTTTATTTCTTAGATGTACGTGTATATATACATGTATTAACACATGTTACATTTACATTAGGAGAATGCAAAACCTTTGAGAAGCAACATGTGTTCAAAACAGATTTTGTAAAACAATTATTTTTTTAACATTTAAAACATAATTGGATGTAGGATAGCAAGATATTGGCTGTGTTTTTCTTCTTCAGTTTAATTAGGAGTCATTTGCTTTTATTTGATATTAGAAGGAGTTCAACTGTATAATTAATATAGTTAGCCAATATAAATTTGGAGGATTTTCAGTGTGTTTTTGTAAACTTACAACACCAATTCACCTGATTCTGAAAGTATAGAGAATTTAACAATGGAGAAATTATTTTATTGTAGCAAACTTGACATGACAATCGGAAAGATTTGTTGTATAGGAGCAGGTTATGTTGGGGGACCGACATGTGCAATCATTGCACACAATTGTCCAAGTATCCAAGTTACAGTGGTGGATCTGAGTGAAGAGAGAATAGCACAGTGGAATTCAGACAGTTTACCTATATTTGAGGTTTGATCATTTTCTGAAAATTCGTCTTTATTGTTTTGGTTCGTATTAAGAAAAAAATCATGTTAACTTTGTTTTCTTAAATTTTCCTTTAATCTTGGTGATCTTTCTGTGTGATAGTTTTCCATCTGAAGCTACTCAACTAAGAACCTGAAGAAGTATAATAACAATGAATAAGAAGATGTGGTATGATTGCCAATGAGACAACTCTCCACAAGAGACCAAATGACACAGAAATTAACAACTATAGGTCACCGTATGGCCTTCAACAATGAGCAAAGCCCATACCACATAGTCAGCTATAAAAGGCCCCGAAAAGACATATGTATAACAATTTAAAACGAGAAAACTAACGGCCTAATTTATGTACAAAATAATGAACGAAAAACAAAAATGTAACACAGCAACAAACGACAACCACTGAATAACAGGCTCCTGACTTGGGACAGGCACATACAGAATATGGCGGGGTTAAACTAGTAAGATGGCGCCAAAGAAGGTTTTTTTTTCCTCGTAGAGTAGAGTGAGGACATGATATCATAAGCAATCATCATTGACTTCATGTTGCGAAGGAAAATAGATATAAACAACTTGAGGAAGGTTTTAAAACCATAGATTATCTATTGACACATTACTTATTAAAAACATTACTAACTAGAATTTTTGGGTTGCTATCTCATTGACATATACCCCTAACCCATATCTTCTTTTATTCATAGAAAGATTAAATATTTGATAACCATCAGAACTATGACTCTTTTCTCAAAAAATCTTACAATTAAAATTGATTGTAAGTTATTCTTAAATGTGTATAACTTACAAGTATTTTTACTCTTAAGTTTTTTTTGTGAAAAGAGGTGCAAATGTTTGTTAAAAATTATAACAAATGAAAGCTTTTTGTTTTTGATAATTGTTATATTTGTTTTGTCAAGATTGATTGGCTGTAAAAATGACAAGAAATCTACATATAAATAATACAGATTCTGTGGAATTTTGATATATTAATTTATATTAGTGCTTTACATTCATGTAGCATAGAGTGTGAATTATAGAAATTGGTAAAGTTATGAAAAATTGTTTCATGCCTTTGAAAATAATCAATGAAACTTAAGGGTAATTATAATATATTTGTCAATTGAATTGTTTCATATTTTTCATGTTGGGGCCTTTTACAGCCGACTATACGGTATGGGTTTTTTTCTTATTGATGAAGGCTGTATGGTTGCCTATAATTGCTTACATCCACTTCATTTGAACTTTGGTGGATAGTTGCCATATTGGCAATCATACCACATATCCTTATTTTTATATTGAAGCAGATAGTTGTTTAACTGAAAAAAAAAACAACATGACTTATGTCCGTGAACTATTGCTCTCATAGGAAAAAAAATGAAAAAAATGATATTGTATCGATCAGCTTGGTGGACATTTCATTTTCATTTGAAAACTTTATCATTCTGGTAGAAAACTAGATTGGGTTGATAATAGAGTCATTTTTATAAAAGAAATAAAAGAATTTGTTTGAAGAGCTTTATATTCCTGCTAAAATCAGAGCCACATGAATCTTGCTGTAAGGTCTAAGTTAAGGGACCACATAAGTCTTACTGTAAGGTCTAAGTTAAGGGACCACATAAGTCTTACTGTAAGGTCTAAGTTAAGGGACCACATAAGTCTTACTGTAAGGTCTAAGTTAGGGGACCACAAAAGCCATGCTGTGAGGTTTAAGTTAAGGGACCACATAAGTCTTACTGTAAGGTCTAAGTTAAGGGACCACATAAGTCTTACTGTAAGGTCTAAGTTAAGGGACCACATAAGTCTTACTGTAAGGTCTAAGTTAAGGGACCACATAAGTCTTACTGTAAGGTCTAAGTTAGGGGACCACAAAAGCCATGCTGTGAGGTTTAAGTTAAGGGACCACATAAGTCATGCTGTGAGGTCTAAGTTAAGGGACCACATAAGTCTTACTGTAAGGTCTAAGTTAAGGGACCACATAAGTCTTACTGTAAGGTCTAAGTTAAGGGACCACATAAGTCTTACTGTAAGGTCTAAGTTAAGGGACCACATAAGTCTTACTGTAAGGTCTAATTAAGGGACCACATAAGTCATGCTGTGAGGTCTAAGTTAAGGGACCACATAAGTCTTACTGTAAGGTCTAAGTTAAGGGATCACATAAGTCTTGCTGTAAGGTCTAAGTTAAGGGACCACATAAGTCTAACTGTAAGGTCTAAGTTAGAGGACCACATAAGTCTTACTGTAAGGTCTAAGTTAAGGGATCACATAAGTCTTACTGTAAGGTCTAACTTAAGGGACCACATAAGTCTTACTGTAAGGTCTAACTTAAGGGACCACATAAGTCTTACTGTAAGGTCTAAGTTAAGGGACCACATAAGTCTTACTGTAAGGTCTAAGTAAGGATCTACATTAGTCTTGTATAAGGTCAAAGTTACGGTGCCACATTAATCTTTATGACTGGTCAAATCTTTTTGTGCTTAAATAAGTCTTGCAGTATAGTCAGAGTTAAATAAATATGAATTAGAAGACTGTTTAGTAGGCTGCTAGTTCTAAAGGAAAACACAGAGAATAGCACTAAATGTAATGAGTCTTGTTAAACTTGTTATTAGCATGTGTATCCATCACATACACATTTACCCCAGCAATGTAATATGTCTTTGTTAAATTTGTTATTATCATGTACAGCCATCACATACACATTTACCCCAGCAATGTAATATGTCTTTGTTAAATTTGTTATTATCATGTGTATCCATCACATACACATTTACCCACATAAATGTTGCTCAGTAAATGTAGCAGATGATATGAAACATAAAGCTGTTGTAGTTCTGAAGTAATTATGTAATCAGCAGTCACAATATCTCATACAAAACAATCAGTACAAACTGTATAGGATCAAAGAATAAGACAAAGTGATAATGTCTTTATTTACAAATAATAGATAAAGCAATTTCTTTGGGATGATATAGTATGTTAATTATATTGATGTACATTTGTATATGTTTTCAGCCTGGATTGGGATGATATAGTATGTTAATTATATTGATGTATTTGTTTTCAGCCTGGATTGGATGATATAGTGAAAGGAAGTCGTGGCAAAAACTTATTCTTCAGTACTGATGTGAAAAAAGAAATAGTGGAGGCTGACCTTATATTTATTTGTGTTAATACACCCACTAAAAATTATGGTGTAGGGAAAGTAAGTCATTTATCTGTGTCCACACTCCAACTAAAAATAACTTAAACTAATGGTGTCAACACACCCACTTAAACTAATGGTGTAAACATACCCACTAAAATTTATCATGTCAACACACTAAAACTTATGATGTCAACACACTCATTAAAACATATGGTGTCAACACATGGTTTCAACACACCCACTAAAACGTATGGTGTCAACACAACCACTAAAATGTAGGGTGTCAACACCCACTAAAAGGTATGGTGTCAACACACCCACTATAATGTATAGTGTCAACACACCCACTAAAATGTATGGTGTCAACACACCCACTATAATGTATAGTGTCAACACACCTACTAAAACTTTTGGTGTCAACACACCCACTAAAATGTATGGTGTCTACACACTCATTAAAACATATGGTGTCAACACGCCCACTAAAACACACGGTTTCAACACACCCACTAAAACATATGGTGTCAACACACCCACTAAAACACATGGTTTCAACACACCCACTAAAACGTATGGTGTCAACACACCCACTAAAATGTAGGGTGTCAACACCCACTAAAAGGTATGGTGTCAACACACCCACTAAAACGTATGGTGTCAACACACTCACTAAAATGTAGGGTGTCAACACCCACTAAAAGGTATGGTGTCAACACACCCACTATAATGTATGGTGTCTACACACTCATTAAAACATATGGTGTCAACACACCCACTAAAACACATGGTTTCAACACACCCACTAAAACATATGGTGTCAACACACCCACTGAAACACATGGTTTCAACACACCCACTAAAACGTATTATTATTATTATTACAATTTTTCTATAGCGCTAAATCTAAAACAATATTACTCAAAGCGCTTTACATCACATGTTAAACGAAATATACACACAGACAGTGATAAAAATATAAAACATGAACACACAAAATAAATATTTAAGTGTTAAAACTTTTCTAGATAAAAGGATTAATAATGTGGAAATTTTTACAAAAAAGTGGAATATATATATCAATGAATCAAAATAAAATTATACTGAATAAAGTTGGTAAAATAAATAGCCAAAAAAGTCTAAAATAAGATTGCTATTAAAAATTATCAAATATAAGTTAAAAATTTGAAAACGTATTCAAAAGATGAAAAAGGAATATTACCATGTAAAAATATATGTATGGTGTCAACACACCCACTAAAATGTAGGGTGTCAACACACCCACTAAAATGTAGGGTGTCAACACCCACTAAAAGGTATGGTGTCAACACACCCACTAAAACGTATGGTGTCAACACACCCACTAAAATGTAGGGTGTCAACACCCACTAAAAGGTATGGTGTCAACACACCCACTAAAACGTATGGTGTCAACACACCCACTAAAATGTAGGGTGTCAACACCCACTAAAAGGTATGGTGTCAACACACCCACTAAAACACATGGTTTCAACACCCACTAAAATGTATGGTGTCAACACACCCACTAAAATGTAGGGTGTCAACACCCACTAAAAGGTATGGTGTCAACACACCCACTATGATGTATATTGTCAACACACCCACTAAAATGTATGGTGTCAACACACCCACTATAATGTATAGTATCAACACACCTACTAAAACTTATGGTGTCTACACACCCACTAAAACTTTTGGTGTCAACACACCCACTAAAACGTATGGTGTCAACATACCCACTAAAACTTATAGTGTCAACACACCTACTAAAACTTATGGTGTCTACACACCCACTCAAACTTATGGTGTCAACACACCCACTAAAACTTATGTTGTCAACACACCCACTAAAATGTATGGTGTCAACACACCCACTAAAATGTATGGTAATAAAATCAATTGAAAGTGTAACCAGATTGAAATTGTAACATTGAACAAGTACAAATGTATGTCATTTAGATTGAATTCTTTTGTTAGAATGTCAGGTATTTTGTGAAATTGATTTTTTTATTATTATTCCAGGGAAGAGCAGCAGATTTGAAGTATATAGAATCAGCTGCCAGAATGATTGCCACTGTCTCAACCAAGTCTAAAATTGTTGTGGAGAAAAGTACAGTACCAGTCAAAGCTGCTGAGAGTATCGCAAATATATTGAAGGCCAATGTTAAACCTGGGGTCAAATATCAGGTAAGGGGTCAATCCTGAGGTTAAGTGAGAAAGGTTTTAGTACTGATAGACATACTGCAGTAATAGTCAGAGCTAGTTAGAGTATCAAAAATATATTGAAGGTCAATGTTAAACCTGAGGTCAAATATCAGGAAATAGGTCAATCTTGAGGTTATGGGGACCTGTTGCTGGTTATGTGGACAAAGTGTATTATCAATCAAGGCTGGTAAAGTTATACACCTTGTCCTTATTTGTCTTCCGTTCATGGAAAAGTTTTACATTTCATGAGAAAATATCTGATACCACTGTGTGAATGTTGTAAGATCTTGTAAAGGGTTGCAAAATTTAGGTGTCGGGTATTAATTTCAACATAAACATAGAAATTAAAGTTTGACATACAATGTAAGGTACAAAAAATAAGGGGAAATGTCGGTCAACCTCCTTAAAAATAGACATTGAGCTTCATTATTGTGATTTTCAGGAAATAATCCAAGACAGACTTAAAAATGAATCTGAATTGTCTATGTAATAAAAATGACTGTATTCATTGATCAGTAGAAGAATATAAGAAACACAAGATTTTGAACTGACTAAAAATTAACAGCAAGGTCAACTACAGTGAATTGTGTTCCATTAACCATTATCAGGAAACACCTTGGATACATAAAAACAGGGAAAAATATCGTATGTCTTCTTGGTTGCTGTTGATAGCCCCCTAGAAAACCTCGGAAAGCCATAAGTTCATAATTGCAAGGTTAACAGCATAACTGGTATTGGCTGACAAACCAAACCATCTAAAGTCCTAAATAAATGTTGATATTGTTGCAGGTTTTGTCAAACCCAGAGTTCTTAGCCGAGGGTACAGCTGTCAAGGATCTATTACAACCAGACAGAGTTTTGATTGGAGGAGACCAGACACCTGAAGGTCACGAGGCCATCCAGGCATTATGTTGGGTGTATGGACATTGGGTTTCAAAAGATAGAATTATAACTATGAACACATGGTCTTCAGAACTGTCTAAACTGGTTAGTTTATATAGCTATGAACACATGGTCTTCTGAACTGTCTAAATTGGTTAGTTTATATAGCTATGAACACATGGTCTTCTGAACTGTCTAAATTGGTTCGTTTATATAGCTATGAACACATGGTCTTCTGAACTGTCTAAATTCGTTAGTTTATATAGCTATGAACACATGGTCTTCTGAACTGTCTAAATTGGTTAGTTTATATAGCTATGAACACATGGTCTTCTGAACTGTCTAAATTGGTTCGTTTATATAGCTATGAACACATGGTCTTCTGAACTGTCTAAATTCGTTAGTTTATATAGCTATGAACACATGGTCTTCTGAACTGTCTAAATTCGTTAATTTATATAGCTATGAACACATGGTCTTCAGAACTGTCTAAATTGGTTAGTTTATATAGCTATGAACACATGGTCTTCTGAACTGTCTAAATTGGTTAGTTTATATAGCTATGAACACATGGTCTTCTGAACTGTCTAAATTGGTTCGTTTATATAGCTATGAACACATGGTCTTCTGAACTGTCTAAATTCGTTAGTTTATATAGCTATGAACACATGGTCTTCTGAACTGTCTAAATTCGTTAATTTATATAGCTATGAACACATATCTGAACAAATTAGTTTATTTGACTATGAATACTTCAGAACTACCTTAAATGATTAGCACAATAAAAACAATAGCAATAATACATGGTATTCAGAACTTTTGGTAAATTAATGTAAAATGTAAGATGTATAGTCAATAATTGGCAACTTGATTATTTAAAAAGACTTCAAAGCAAACAATCAGAAATTGGATTAAAAGTATATGTGGTGTTTATGTTAGTGACACTGATACCATATAGACATCCAGACAGGGCTTCCCCAGGGACAATATTTGAGACATAAAATTATGCTTCAAACATGTGCGTCGCTGAAACGATTGTAAAGTACCCACATCAAAACAATTATTTCTATCAAAGTTAAAGGTCAGAGATTTTTCTTACTTTTTAATATTTTTCATCATAGCAATCATTTATGTTTTCTGGACCATTATTAAAAGAATCTTAAAAGGAAAAGAAGAGACATAAAACTATGCTTTAAACACATATGTCGTTAAAACAATTTAGAAGTAGCCACTTCAAAAAAAAAAATATTTCTATCAAAGTTGTAAAGAAATTCTTTAGATGAAATGTGACTCCAGATAACCACAGCATTTCATTAAACTATACAATCAATGCCTTTATTAGTTAGTCCAATGTAAAATGCAATCAGCTGATTATTGATTTTCTATCAAAATGGTAACTAGTACAAGGTCAATTCCAAGTAATGTCTGATCAGGGAAAAGTCAGAGAACTAAGAAAAAAGTTAACAAGATAGACAAAGTCGAACCTTTATATCTCTTTTGCCAATAATAATTTAAATTGCCACAATTTTTATTTTTTTCGCAAAATGCGAAAATGGCGACTGCCAGCGGAAACCCTGTATCCAGAGACAAACCCATAGTTTGTTGTTTACAGATTTTGACACATTTGTGATTGATAATACTCTTTGTTAACAGATTTTGACACTTATTTTTATTTATTTATGCTGTTTACAGGCAGCCAATGCATTTTTAGCTCAGAGAATATCCTCAATAAATGCCATGTCAGCAATTTGTGAATCCACTGGAGCAGATGTTACAGAAGTAGCACATGCTGTTGGCATGGATACGAGAATAGGCAATAAATTCCTGAAAGCTAGTGTGGGTAAGTGTCCTTTTGTTGTCATAGATACCAGAATGAATAGTAAATTAAAAAAAAATAGTGTTAGTAAAACACAAGTTGTTATCATGGATACCAGTTTGAGCAATAAGTCCCTGAAAGATAGTTGTAGTAAGTGTTGTTGTTATGGATACCAGAATAAAAAAAGTTCTTGAATGTAAGTGTTAGTGATTTGGTTTTACTATCATGGCATATACCTTACACACAACACTTAGACAAAGAGAATATGTGCTGTTCAGTGACTGAGACAAAGAGCAGATGTGCTGTTCAGTGACTTAGACAAAGAGAATATATGCTGTTCAGTGATTGAGACCAAGAGCAGATGTGCTGTTCAGTGACTGAGACAAAGAGCAGATGTGCTGTTCGGTGACTGAGACAAAGAGAATATGTTCTGTTCAGTGATTGAGACAAAGAGCAGATGTGCTGTTCAGTGACTTAGACAAAGAGAATATGTGCTGTTCAGTGATTGAGACCAAGACCAGATGTGCTGTTCAGTGACTTAGACAAAGAGAATATGTGTTGTTAAGTGACTTAGACAAAGAGAATATGTGTGCTGTTCAGTGACTTAGACAAGGAGCATGTGTGCTGTTCAGTGACTTAGACAAAGAGAATATGTGCTGTTCAGTGACTGAGACAAAGAGAATATGTGCTGTTCAGTGATTGAGACCAAGAGCATGTGTGCTGTTCAGTGATTGAGACCAAGAGCAGATGTGCTGTTCAGTGACTGAGACAAAGAGCAGATGTGCTGTTCAGTGACTGAGACAAAGAGAATATGTGCTGTTCAGTGACTGAGACAAAGAGCAGATGTGCTGTTCGGTGACTGAGACAAAGAGAATATGTTCTGGTCAGTGACTGAGACAAAGAGAATATGTGCTGTTCAGTGACTTAGACAAGGAGCATGTGTGCTGTTCAGTGACTTAGACAAAGAGAATATGTGCTGTTCAGTGACTCAGACAAAGAGAATATGTGTGCTGTTCAGTGACTTAGACAAGGAACATGTGTGCTGTTCAGTGACTTAGACAAAGAGAATATGTGCTGTTCAGTGACTGAGACAAAGAGAATATGTGCTGTTCAGTGATTGAGACCAAGAGCAGATGTGCTGTTCAGTGGCTGAGACAAAGAGCAGATATGCTGTTCAGTGTCTTAGAAAAGGAGCATGTGTGCTGTTCAGTGACTTCGACAAGGAGCATGTGTGCTGTTCAGTGACTTAGACAAAGAGAATATGTGTTGTTAAGTGACTTAGACAAAGAGAATATGTGTGCTGTTCAGTGACTTAGACAAGGAGCATGTGTGCTGTTCAGTGACTTAGACAAAGAGAATATGTGCTGTTCAGTGACTGAAACAAAGAGAATATGTGCTGTTCAGTGATTGAGACCAAGAGCAGATGTGCTGTTCAGTGGCTGAGACAAAGAGCAGATGTGCTGTTCGGTGACTGAGATAAAGAGAATATGTTCTGTTCAGTGACTAAGACAAGGAGCATGTGTGCTGTTCAGTGACCGAGACAAAGAGCAGATATATTGTTCAGTGACTTAGACAAGGAGCATGTGTGCTGTTCAGTGTCTTAGACAAGGAGCATGTGTGCTGTTCAGTGACTTCGACAAGGAGCATGTGTGCTGTTCAGTGACTTAGACAAAGAGAATATGTGTTGTTAAGTGACTTAGACAAAGAGAATATGTGTGCTGTTCAGTGACTTAGACAAGGAGCATGTGTGCTGTTCAGTGACTTGGACAAGGAGCATGTGTGCTTTTCAGTGACTGAGACAAGGAGCATGTGTGCTGTTTAGTGACTTAGACAAAGAGAACATGTGCTGTTTTGTGACTTAGACAAAGAGAATTAGTGTTGTTCAGTGACTTAGACAAAGAGAATATGTGTGCTGTTCAGTGACTTGGACAAGGAGCATGTGTGCTGTTCAGTGACTGAGACAAGGAGCATGTCACTGAACAGCACACATGCTCCTTGTGTAAGTCACTGAACAGCCACATACCGGACCTACTCCTTTGCAACAGATTATTTTGAAATCTCTATCAATTTTTATACGACCGCAAAAATTAAAAATTTTTTGGTCGTATATTGGTATGACGTTGGCGTCGTCGTCGTCGTCGTCGTCGTCGTCGTCGTTGTCGTCGTCGTCGTCGTCGTCCGGCGTCGTCTGGCGTCGTCCGAAGACACATTGGTTTTCGCACTCTAACTTTAGTTTAAGTGAATGGATCTCCATGAAATTTCACCATAAGGTTCAATACCACGAAAGGAAGGTTGGGATTGATTTTGGGGGTTATGGTACCAACAGTTAAGGAATTAGGGGCCAAAAAGGGGCCAAAAATAAGCATTTTTGTAATTTTCAGACAATAACTTGTGTGTAAGTGTATAGATCTCTCTGACATTGTACCACAAGGTTCCATATCACAAAGGGAAGGCTGTAATTGATTTTGGGGGTAATTGCCTCAAAATTTTAGGAATTAGGGGCCAAAAAAGGGGCAAAAAACAAGCATTTTTCTAGTTTCATGACAATAACTTGTGTGTAAGTGTTTGGATATTTCTGAAATTGTACTACAAGGTTCCATATCACAAAGGGAAAGCTGGAATTGAGTTTGGGGGTAATTGCCCGAAACGTTTAGGAATTGGGGGCCAAAAAGGGGCCAAAAATAAGCATTTTTCTAGTTTCCAGACAATAACTTGTGTTCAAGTGTATGGATCTCTCTGAAATTGTACTGCAAGGTACCATACCACAAAGGGAAGGCTGGGATTGAGTTTGGGGGTGATGAATCATAAGGGGGTTCAAAAAATTTGGGGGGGGAGATTTTTTTTTTTTTTTTTTTTCTTTTTTTCCTTTTTTTTTTCTTTTAAAATTTTCCATTTTAAGTTGATTATTTCTGATTTATATTTAAAAGCAAATAATAATGATATGGTAGGAGATACACACCAAACAGGATGTGTAAATTATTATATAATAAGTATTGTGCAATAGCAAGAAATTTTCAATTGCACAGTATTGCACAATAGCAAGAAATCTTCAATTGCACAGTATTGCGCAATAGCAAGAAATCTTCAATTGCACAGTATTGCGCAATAGCAAGAAATATCCAATAGCACAATATTGCGCAATAGCAAGAAATTGTCAATTGTACAGTATTGCGCAATAGCAAGAAATATTCAATTGCACAGTGTTGTGCAAAAGAAGATACTTCGTATAAATTGCTTATTTCTTGATCAATTTCAATGGGGTTTTATTCTTGAATTCTTGGGGTTCTTTAATATGCTGAATCTAACCGTGTATTAAGTTTTTGGATTTTGGGCCCCGTTTTTAAATTGGTCCACATTGAGGTCCAAAGGGTCCAAAATTTAACTTTGTTTGATTTCATCAAAAATTGAATTATTGGGGTTCTTTGATATGCCGAATCTAACCGTGTATTTAGTTTTTTAATTTGGGGTCCCGTTTTTTAAATTGGTCTACATTAAGGTCCAAAGGGTCCAAAATTAAACTTAATTTGATTTTAACAAAAATTGAATTCTTGGGGTTCTTTGATATGCTGAATCTAAACATGTGTTTAGATTTTTGATTATGGGCCCAGTTTTCAAGTTGGTCCAAGTTGGGGTCCAAAAGTAAACTTTGTTTGATTTCAACAAAAATTGAATATATGGGGTTATTTGATATGCAAAATCTAAACATGTATTTAGATTTTAGATTTTTGGCCCAGTTTTCAAGTTGGTCCAAATTGGGGTCCAAAATTAAACTTTGTTTGATTTCAACAAAAATTGAATATATGGGGTTCTTTGATATGCTGAATCTTACCATGTATTTAGATTTTTTATTTGTGGGCCTGCTATCAAATTGGTTCATATTGAGGTCAAAAGGGTCCAAAATTAAACTTTGTTTGATTTCATAAAAAATTGAATTATTGGGGTTCTTTGATATGCCAAATCTAACTGTGTATTTAGATTTTTAATTTTGGGTCCTGTTTTTTAAATTGGTCTACATTAAGGTCCAAAGGGTCCAAAATTAAACTTAGTTTGATTTTAACAAAAATTGAATTTTTGGGGTTCTTTGATATGCTGAATCTAAACATGTGTTTAGATTTTTAATTATGGGACCAGTTTTCAAGTTGGTCCAAGTTGGGGTCCAAAATTAAACTTTGTTTGATTTCAACAAAAATTGAATATATGGGGTTCTTTGATATGCTGAATCTAAACATGTATTTAGATTTTAGATTTTTGGCCCAGTTTTCAAGTTGGTCCAAATTGGGGTCCAAAATTAAACTTTGTTTGATTTCAACAAAAATTGAATATATGGGGTTCTTTGATATGCTGAATCTTACCATGTATTTAGATTTTTTATTTGTGGGCCTGCTATCAAATTGGTTCATATTGAGGTCAAAAGGGTCCAAAATTAAACTTTGTTTGATTTCATCAAAAATTGAATAATTGGGGTTCTTTGATATGCCAAATCTAACCGTGTTTTTAGATTTTTAATTTTGGGTCCCGTTTTTTATATTTGTCTACATTAAGGTCCAAAGGGTCCAAAATTAAACTTAGTTTGATTTTAACAAAAATTGAATTCTTCGGGTACTTTGATATGCTGAATCTAAACATGTGTTTAGATTTTTGATTATGGGACCAGTTTTCAAGTTTGTCCAAGTTGGGGTCCAAAATTAAACTTTGTTTGATTTCAACAAAAATTGAATATATGGGGTTCTTTGATATGCTGAATCTAACCATGTATTTTGATTTTGGACATTGGACCATAATAGGTAAATTAAAAAAATTGAAGTTCTTAGACCACATTCTTTCTGTGTCAGAAACCTATGCTGTGTCAAATATTTAATCACAATCCAAATTCAGAGCTGTATCAAGCTTGAATGTTGTGTCCATACTTGCCCCAACTGTTCAGGGTTCGACCTCTGCGGTCGTATCAAGCTGCGCCCAGCGAAGCATTTTATTCTAATTAAAGTTTTAAAATTATTTTTTTCAAACTGCCTTAGTTTATAGCGGAACATTTATTTTGTACTCCATCATTTGAAACAGACGAAATCCTATAAAGTGTTTAATAAAGTCAGAATTTCAACTAAGTTATTAAACAATGAATACTAAAAATTATTTTTTTACAATTAATTGAAAATTATTGTAATTCTGAATAAGTTGAAAATCTCATTAACACCAGACAGAATGCAATGTTGTTATTTCATGTTATTTGATGCAAGAACAATTCTTATTGGGATACAATAAATTTTCTTACATACATTAAGGTTTATGACCCCTTCTGTGGCCTGTCAATTACGAAATTTTCAAACTGCAATAGTATCAAAACAGCAAAGATAATGAATAAAAGAGATGGACCATTTTGTACATATGTCAAAGGGAAACTTCGTGTAAAGCATTATTATTTATAGTTTAATTGCATTTAGTAGAAAAAGAGAATTTAGTGAAATTAAAACCAAGATTTTTGAAGAAAATCCACAGGCTACAGAGATTTTTGTTATAAAATTTTAAACATAGATTATTTACTTCTTTTTCTATGATCAGCTAGCGTTTATTGTTTACAAAAAGTTCTAAACAACCTTTAAATTCCAAAACACCTCGTGCTGGGTCACTAAAGTCGAGCACACCCTAAAAGTTGTACTTGAATTAGTCCATATTTATATTTGTTTTAACCAATATCTGAATTTATAAACTTGTTTTAAAGGAATTATTGCTAGCACTGCATGCAATAATTCTGTATCTATCAAGCATTTAATTGTCAAATATGAGAGTACAAACGGAAAGGCTGTGGATTTTCTATAAAATTTCCTTATGTTTAGCATTGAATCAAGACAAGGGTACATAATCCTTAAGTTTTCAAAAATATTGCAAATTTTCATTAGAATTCCCTTAAAAAAAATTGAGTGTTAAGGATTTAGATATAATTGTCAAAGGGTATTGGTTCGGGAACCCTAACCAAATTAATTTACGGTATTACTCAATTGTCTCAATATTGGTCATTTGAATCCTCTACCGTGCCGTAGTGATGCTGATCAAAGATTACACTAGTCTGGCAATAAACACACCTCTTACAATGTAAACACACCCCTATCAATATGGCCATTCCCCTTATATTGTAAACACACTCCTATCAATATGAGCACTTCCCATACATTGTGAACACACCCCTATCAATGTGAGCACTCCCCAAACATTGTGACCACACCCCAAACAATATGAACACTCCCCATACAATATTAACACAACCTAAAATATATGAACACACATCTAGTTTACAAAATGTAAGTGCCATTAGTAATATGTATATATTCCTAACAATATGAACACCTCCATACAATTTGAACCTATCCCTAACTATATGAATACACCCTTAACAATATTTACACAACCTAACAATATGAACACACCTCTATTAATATGAACACCCTTTTAACAATATTTACACAACCTAACACCATGAACACACCTCTAACAATATGGTTGATAAGTCAGAAAGTAGAAAGAGCAGTAAAAATGAACAATATTTTACATAGTAGAACAATTATGGTTACTTGTTAGTATCGGTAAGTACTGGACGTGGACCAATTATGGCATTTTATAAATTTTGTTATAAATTTCAAAAAGATATGTTGGTTTTTCCCTAAAAATTTGGTTTTGCACAGATTGTAATCAAAATATGTGCATGTATTGGTCAGAAAATGTCCTCAGATTTATCTCTTTCTTATCCATATTTCTGCATGAATTCGGTACCAATTATTGTCATACACCATGTACATTTTTTGTTGAACAATTCATTAAGTTTTAAGATGGAGAAAAAGTTGCTTTATAAGATGTTCAAAATGCTACATTAATAAGCCATTAATGTAATAACATCATGTGAAATTGTTTATTAAATGCAGTGGTCTTACTAAAGTATTCAGGGGCGGATTCAGGTGGGGGTGTGGCGGACGTGCGCCTCCTAAAATTTGCAAAGCATGGCTTGTCCTCAGCTTAATAAAGAATATTTCAATAATTTTACCTCAAAAAAAATTTAAGTTTGCGCCCCACTAACTTAATATCCTGGATCCGCCCTTGGTATTATTTATCCAAGTATTTGGTAATTATAGGTACTTTGTGATTATTGGTCCTCAACCAGTATAAAGTTTTCCTCCTTGATGGATTGTTTTACTGGTGTAAACTGACTTAAGATTGAAATACTTGGTGAATTTTGAAATGAGAATACAGAAAATTCTGTTTTTTTTTTAAAAAGTGTAATCTATTCAAAATATACAAGCTGGAGTTTTATACACATTTTGATTATTTTAAAAATAAAGTTAATGTTTTTTAGCTCCCTTTCGTAAAGGGGCATTTCACTTTTAGCAGTCAGTTAGGTTCAATTTTGCCAAAATAAGTTCAAAAACATCACTGATGTATTATTGACTTGCAAGTCAATATTTCAAGCCTGTTCAGTTATTAGAAAGAAAAAAATGTCAATATATTGAAATGTTAAACAAGAGAACCTATGGGGAAGAACCATTTTGGTGACTGATTCTTCCCTCAAAAAATCAGTCTTATTCAGGTGAAATGATGATTAACATATTTTTTTTTATCTATGACATGAAATCAAACAGACCTTGAAAAATCATCATTATATGATTGCATGGGCTTGTCTGTTTTAATATTTATGTCTACATCAGGTCATATGACTATCAGCAATCTTCAGAGGTCATCTCTATGGTTATTTAGATGTTGTCTAGTCTAAAATACACACAAAATGCTGATACATTATAACGAGTTAATGCATTGTTAATTGGTTTTTTTTTTTACTTTTTGTAATTTAGATTTAAGTTCTAGAATGTTATAAATCAAATATGAGAATTTGAGTCAAATAGGTAAAGATAAATTTGACAGCAATTATCCCTTTATGTGAAGACGGAATTGATAATTAGAGCTAGAAAATGTGAAAAACTGAATTCATAATTAGGGCTAGAAAATGTGAAGAAGTGAATCTATAATTAGGGCTAGAAAATGTGAAGAACTGAATCTATAATTAGAGCTAGAAAATGTTAAGAGCTGGATTTATAATTAGAGCTAGAAAATGTAAAGAACTGAATTCATAATTTGAGCTATACTGATAACTGGCTAGGACATAATCATGTATATTCACAATTAGTGCTAGAAAAATGTTAACAACAGAAACCTCAATTGTAGAGCTAGAAAACTGAAAAAAAGCTGTAGAGTTTGAATGTTGAAAAAATATATTTATTGAAACTGCTGCACACTTTTGTTATTGTTTACTAATGATCTACAGTATATATTATATAGATGACAAAGGAGGACAATGTTTAAATAGATTTCTCTTCTTTGTTCAACCTCCATCACCATTATACCATTATCTTTGCATGTATTCCTTTTCCATGTCAACAGGGATTCAAAATATACAAGAAATTTTAAGATAGGAAATTCTGAAAATGTTTACAAATTTATGAATTCAATGTTATTTTGTTTTAGATAGTATCATTAAATACTGTTAACCATCTAATATTCCTAACCGAATTTTTGCAAATTTCCAGAAAAATAATGTTAATATATTAATTGTTATGAATATGTAAAAAAAATATATCTTCCCTTATTTAATTACATCAAAAATGACAAAAATGTATGACTTTGAATTTGGCTCAAAACAACTAAATGCAAAAAGAAGTATCTGCACAAATAAGATGGTTTACAGTTCATCAATACAAAACATTTGGTAAAAAGCTATAAAAGTTAACAAATTATTAATCAATTTAAAGATGTTCGCTCCTCTTGTTTTTGATTTTTTGCCAGATATTCCGAATCCTCTGGGTTTATCCATGTAGTGCCATTAAAAATTTTGCCCGCTAACCCCTACTTTTCTTTTCAGAATTTTATTACATAGAGTTTAAAAATCCTTATTTGAAAATCTTATAAAGTCCTTGTTATTTTTTCATTGTTTTTGAAAGAAAAAAGGTGACAATGTTAAATGTATGAAAAATCTAGAGAGAATCATTTCCTACCAAATTTTCAATGGCTTATATCTCGCAAACAAGCTCACGGACCCTTCATTTTTTTCTGCTTTTTTAGTTCCTTCATTTATATACTATAAATTTATAACAGTCTTTTAAAAAGCTTGTTATTTTGAAACAGAGTAGCGAACATCCTTAAAGACATTTCGGAAAACAATATTGTATGAACTTTTAGACATCCAAAAAAATGCAGATATATTCTGATATAAATGTTTGAATCCCTGTTATGCTGCTTATTGCACGTCTTTCACCTTTTGCTCCTCCTGACAACCAGCTGGTTGTTAATTGCAGGTTATGGTGGTATTTCAGGATTTGGTGGCAGCTGTTTCCAGAAAGATGTACTGAACCTTGTTTACCTGTGTGAATGTCTCAACTTACCTGAGGTGGCAGAATACTGGCAACAGGTAACAAACAACAGTTGCAGATTAACCGGGTGGCATAGGGGGCAAGTGCCACCCACCCCAGTCAGGGTCACCAATTTTTTTTTTTTAAGTATTAATTTTATTGTGACTGAATCCTATAATCGAGAGTGGATATTGACTCACAGCTTGATGACTTCTTTAACTGGTCGTTAATTAACCCCAGCTTAAACCATGCATGATTTATTACTTATCGATGGGTGTGTAAATATTGGCAGCTATGTGTAATGTCTGTTTCCAAGAGGCTTTATTAACTACTGATTAGAATAAGAATACAAACTTTTTTTATTGGTTTCTAATCTAATATTACAGGAATGTTACCATGTTCAGGAAAGAAATGCCCAACCAAAATCAGTCTTTTAAAAAATTAAGTAAAAAAATATGTTTAAGTGTCAAAAACAAAAGCAGTGGTTGTCATTTGTTTTTGTATATATATCATATTTGTTTGCGCTTATTGTTTTGTACATATATCAGGCTGTTAGTTTTCACGTTTGAATGGTTTTACATTTGTCATTTCAGGGCCACTTATAGCTTACAATACGGTATGAGTTTTGCTCATTGTTGAAGGCCGTACGGTGACCTGTAGTTGTTAACTTCTATGGCATTTGATCTCTGGTAGAGAGTTGTCTCATTGACAATCATACCACATCTCCTTACTTTTATATTATGTATCTGTGTGAACTGAATATTAAAACACAGTCAAGGTGGTAGAAAAGAAACAAACAACAATTGTTTATTTTTGTGTATTTCTGAACTGAATAGGAGCAGTAGCACAGTGGAAATGTGTAATAAACAGCTGACTAATTTATCTCTGTGAATACCCAATGTTCACCTTTGCAATTATAATTTCTTTTATTTTGTTATTTCAAAAATTTGATATTTGGAGGATAAACGTCTTCTATTTGAAAAGATCCTTATTTATAAGGAGAAAGTCATGTGTATTTGAAAGTATTAGTCAACAGAAGAATTATAAAAATAGTGAAAATGTCATGTACTTATACCTGTTACCTTATGATTATAGCTTGCATTTTGTTACTTACTTTATAAATTTGAAGTCAGATTGATCCATTAGATTCAGGAGGGGACCATTGTTAATCAACTTATTTTCGCGTTTAGCCAATTTTGTTGGCAATTTATATTCTGGATTTTGTAATTTTGTCCATGTATCTTTAATAGAAAATATCAAAGTTAGACACTTTCATGACTATTTTGTAATATTTGCATTATTTAAATTGACGGCTCACAAATATAAGTTTATTTACAGTATTGTTTATTGCTCATTTACTTTGTTGGCAGACAAATAAGTATTTAACAACAGAAATTTGGAATATAAGTCGCATCAATCTATCATTGTGCCTATAATAATAGATGCATCTTCTTTCACATTTACAGTAATTAAAATTGATGCATCTTTCTTCACAGGTAATTAACATAAACGACTACCAGAGAAGACGATTTGCCAATAAGATAATAGAATGTCTGTTTAATACAGTGACCAACAAAAATATTGCAATCTTTGGTTTTGCTTTCAAGAAAGACACTGGTGATACAAGGTAATACTGTGGATTCATTTATTTTCGTGGGGACCAATTTATGTGGATTAAGGAAAACTTGCATGTTCGTTGATATTTAATTTGTGGTTTTGACAAAGTCTGCATACAAGCCTATGGAAAATTTGTTATTCGTTGAACATTTAATTTCGTGGTTCACCTATACCCACTAAATCTACGAAAATTGGTATCTAACGAATAATAATGAATCCACAGTATAGAAATAAGAAGATGTGGTATGATCACCAATGAGGCAACTCTCCACCAGAGTTCAAATGACATGAATGAAGTGGATGTAAGCAATTATATGAGACCGTACAGCCTTATACCATATACCGGTAGTCGGCTATAAAAGGCCTTGACATGAAAAATGTGAAACAATTCAAACGAGAAAACTAATGGATGAATTTATAACAAAACATTTTACAAATACAAATATGACGGACATGAACCAATGACAACCACTGAACTACAGGCTACTGACTTGGGACAGGCACATAAAGAATATGGCAGAAATTCCAAATTAAACACCAAATGAATTACACACAATATCATACAAATTGAAAAATGACACTTCTAGAAATTAATAAAAAAAAATCTCCTCCACTTCATAGCCCATGAATGTTTATGCAACTTTTAACAAATTACTAAGAACTGTAAATGGTCTAATCCATTGGACTGTATGCAAGATACATGCAATATCTACACCATTAAAATCAAAGACAAAAAAACTGCCCAGTAAACTTCATGATAAAGATTAGCAATAAAACTGGTTGTGCTTTGATAATATGATTATTTCCAAGTACATTGATAGATTTTTACATACATTTACCAAAGATTTATTGAAACATTATAGTTATAGTCAACAAGATAAACCATAAGCCTGCTTACCCAGGCCAATGAAAATGTAGTAGGGCCAGCAGCAAGTTCCTTAAAAGAGGAACTACAGAGAGGTTATTTGGTTTTTTTTTTGCCATGACAGCTTGTTTTTCTACTTGAATTATCATTTTAATATCTCTCAAGTATATTGAACCACCTACATATCATAAAACTTTTTTTTATATTTACAGAGAATCAGCTGCAATTTATATATGTAAATATTTAATGGATGAAGGAGCCAAATTACATATCTATGATCCAAAAGTAGAGGAAAAACAGTTAATAACGTAAGTATCTTCAATGTATTTTGATTTGATTTGATTTTTTGGTGTTTTAACGCCACTTTTAAGCACCGCTTTTGGGCTATTTCGTGGCAGCCAGTTTTTATTGGTGGAGGAAGCCGGAGTGCCAGGAGAAAACCCCTGACCTTCGATAGAAAAACTGACAATCCTAGTCAATTTTTAAAAGATTGGAGTCGAGTGCACCCGCATGAGCGGGGTTCGAACTCACAACCTCAGTGTTGACTGGCTAGTGATTAAAGTAGTAACTACTTAGACCACTCGGCCACCGAGGCCCCTTCTTCAATGTATTAACTCAGTCTTCTGAATACAAGAACTTTTCACTGTAAACTTTTATAATCAACCCTTGATAGATATGGATACTTTATACTGTTTTGTGAACTTTAGCTTTATATAAACAACAGGTCAAAAATCTGTCAATCATTGAATTCACCATTTCAGGTGCAAACCAAATCCAGAAAAGTGCTTGGCTGCACAAAATTTTTAAAGTGTTATTTTTTTCATTTTCAGAATATAATGCATTCTGGGAAATATCCTCAAATGTTCTACTTGATTAAAATTGTCTAAATCAAAGGATAACCATAACAACATGGTATAACCTCCTACTCATTTTGGTGTACAACCATTGAAATTACCCACAATCCTTTGTATTCTGAAATGGTGAATTATACAGAATGAAACTCATTCTTTTTTAATGGAAAGAGTTGCAAAAAAGTTATGTTGTCATCAGAAAATTTGACGTGCACAGTAAGAACTTTGGATATATATATTGATTAAATTAATTATTGCCTTAAACCACAAGCATCAATTCTGCAATGCATCAGAAAATTTCTATGGTTGTAATTTGACAAGACAACCACAAATCATGATCCAAGTAACAAGTAGGAATTAATTTATTTTTGTTTGCATAAAGCACAGTAGCAAATGTTTACATCTCATTTTGAAGGGCACACTTATTATTCAATCTGCAAATTTTAACCACCTCACAAAATGTTAATGCATTGAAATTATAAAAATAACAACTCTGGAAAATATCCACATTGGATTGATGAGTGAGATAAAATTTATGGAATTCATATATGACTATGAGATATGAAAAACTAGTACTTTGTGAATTTCAGGGAACTAACACATCCAGCTATCTCAGACGACCCAAGCAGAGTAAAGGAACTGGTAACCATCCATAAAGATCCATACAAGGCTGCAGAGAATACACATGCTCTGGTGGTCTGTACAGAATGGGATGAATTCATAGTAAGTTGGGAACAAATAACCTGAAACAGGGGAGAGTTTCAAGGACTTCATATTTTCCAAGAATTTCTTCCATCTGTTGCATGCTTATATTGAATAACATGTCGAGACATTTTTTTTCGATATTTAATAAAATGGAATAAATTCTTGGTATCTAGTGGTTTGTTTTGAATTTTATCATAGAAATAAATAAAACGGCACTGTATTTCAAATTGTTTGAGGATAAATATTTGATCAAACCTTTCATGTATTGTAAATGTAAATTCACAAACTTTTGGGTGCATTTGATATTATTATTGTTGTACAATGCACAAAAATTCCATTCTTTATTCTAAGATCAATTATTTTGACTTCAGGAAATGGTGCATACAAATAATTGAAATATAAAATGCGATTCTTATTTTTGTGAAACGTATCCCATCACATTGCGATTCTTATTTTTGTGAAACGTATCCCATCACATTGTGATTTTTATTTTTGTGAAACGTATCCCATCACATTGTGATTCTTATTTTTGTGAAATGTATCCCATCACATTGCGATTCTTATTTTTGTGAAACGTATCTCATCACATTGCGATTCTTATTTTTGTGAAATGTATCCCATCACATTGTGATTTTTATTTTTGTGAAATGTATCCATCACATTGTGATTCTTTTTTGTTTTGAAACGTATCCCATCACATTGTGATTCTTTTTTGTTTTGAAACGTATCCCATCACATTGTGATTCTTTTTTGTTTTGAAACGTATCCCATCACATTTTTTCTAAATTTACAGAAAATGGAATGTTTCTTCAGACTTTTTTATCTGTCAGAGAAAGAATTTTGAAATGTCATGTATTAACAGTATGGTCTTTATAAATATAATAAATGCAGATTGCAAATGGGCTGTTTTCAATAAAGATATTGATTGAAAAAACTAGGTTTGCTCACATAACAAGAAGGTAAAAAGAGTTATGTAAAAAATTAGTAATTGAACAGTTAAAAATGGAAGAGGACTAACAGACATTTTTACAAATCTCTTGTACAGTGATTTTTATACGACCGCAAAAAAATTTTTGTGGTCGTATATTGGTATGACGTTGGCGTCGTCGTCGTCGTCGTCGTCGTCGTCGTCGTCGTCGTCGTCGTCGTCGTCCGGCGTCGTCGTCGTCCGGCGTCGTCGTCCAAATACACATTAGTTTTCGCACTCTAACTTTAGTTTAAGTGAATGGATCTCATTGAAATTTTACCATAAGGTTCAATACCACAAAAGGAAGGTGGGGATTGATTTTGGGGGTTATGGTACTAACAGTTAAGGAATTAGGGGCCAAAAGGGGCCAAAAATAAGCATTTTTGTAACTTCCAGACATAACTTGTGTGTAAGTGTATGGATCTCTCTGACATTGTACCACAAGGTTCCATATCACAAAGGGAATGCTGGGATTGATTTTGGGGGTAATTGTCTCCAAATTTTAGGAATTAGGGACCAAAAAGGGGCAAAAAACAAGCATTTTTCTAGTTTCATGACAATAACTTGCTTGTAAGTGTATGGATCTTTATGAAATTGTACTACAAGGTTCCATATCACAAAGGGAATACTGGGATTGATTTTTGGGGTAATTTCCTCCAAATATTAGGAATTAGGGGCCAAAAAGGGGCAAAAAACAAGCATTTTTCTAGTTTCATGACAATAACTTGTTTGTAAGTGTATGGATCTTTATGAAATTGTACTACAAGGTTCCATATCACAAAGGGAAGGCTGGGATTGATTTTGGGGGTTTTCACTCAAAATTTTAGTAATTAGGGGCCATAAAAGGGCAAAAAAAACATGCATTTTTCTAGTTTCAGGACAATAACTTGTGTGTAAGTGTATGGATCTTTATGAAATTGTACTGCAAGGTTCCATATCACAAAGGGAAAGCTGGAATTGAGTTTGGGGGTAATTGCCCTAAACGTTTAGGAATTTGGGGCCAAAAAGGGGCCAAAAAACAAGCATTTTTCTAGTTTCCAGACAATAACTTGTGTTCAAGTGTATGAATCTCTCTGAAATTGTAGTGCAAGGTACCATACCACAAAGGGAAAGCTGGGATTGAGTTTGGGGGCGGTGAATCATAAGGGGGTTCAAAAAATTGGGGGGGGGGGGGGGGGGGTTTCCTTTTTTTTCTTTAACATTTTCCATGAAAAATTTCTGCCCATCATATCATCTCAGGCATCTGGTGTAACTGACATTACCTGAAGTTATATTTTACCTGTAAATCAATTAACATGCATAATTATATGGCTTCACTTGTCAGCTTGGGTGTCAAACATACTGGTAAGCAACGATTTTTACCTCAGGCTAACTGCCGTTGTGTAACAAAAACTGTGTATTTATTGGGTTACTTCCCTTGATTTATCCTGTTTTAAGTTACTTTCCTTTTAATAATGAAAATTTTTAAAAGAATATAAATAAAATATAAATTGAACAAATAATCATAAAAGGATGGTTATTAAATGATTTTAAATGTCTTAGGACAAATAAAAAATAATAATTTGAAAATTATTTGAGGATTCTATACTTCCTTTTAAGGCTTAAATTGAAATTTATATAATAACTATGACCCTAACTTTACAGATAGAATGAATTTCTGAGTTTGCAAATAAAAACTATTTGCAAGAGAAAAAAAAAATAAATAAAAACTATTTGCAGACAGCTAAAAAAATGTTCTGGTTGCAATGATTGTTTTATAGAATATGAAGTAAAAAATTTAAAGAACATACTGGAAAAAACAATGTTAGATTGAACATGTAGAATATAAAGATGGAGAAACTTTATAAGTACAAGGGTACTATAAACATAATAAATTGGATGGAAAGTTGAAGAAAACACACTTTAAAAGACCATTTTTACAGCACACGGTTACATTTACAACAAAATTAATGTCGATTAAAAACCTCCTGATCTGAGTCCTAATCTCCTGACCAAAATTTCCCAATCTCCTGATCTGAGTTTCACAGTCCATCACATGTATGAATAGGTAAATTGAAAATTTTTAAGTTCTTAGACCACTTTCATTCTGTGTCAGAAATCTATGCTGTGTCAAATATTTAATTACAATCCAAATTCAGTGCTGTATCAAGCTTGAATGTTGTGTCCATACTTGCCCCAACTGTTCAGGGTTCGACCTCTGCGGTCGTATCAAGCTGCGCCCCAGCGGAGCATTTTATTTAGTCTGTTTTTAAATAATTGATAGAATTTGTCTTGTACTTTCAGAATTATGATTATGAGAAGATTTATGGCAGTATGTTGAAACCAGCTTTCTTATTTGATGGTAGAATCATACTTGATCATCAGAAATTAATGGGATTAGGTTTTAATGTGATAACGATCGGCAAAAGATTACAACGACCAAACGTTCACAGACCATATGCACCAGCACCAGCACAATAGTTGTCAATTTTGGGTTGTTAACTTGTTGTTTTGTATTTAGAGGGAATTTATTTTGACAATCATATTTCCATTTTGTTATGACATATCAAAAGCATGAATAAATCTGTTACATTCTGCGTTACCATGGTAATAGTTAATTGAAAATAAGGATTTATATTAAAGAATCAAATACCATCAGAAATCTACACATTCTGTTTATAATTATTTGAGGTAAACCACAGAGATCTTTCATGAATCAATCATTTCATAAATAAATGTCTGCATTCACTCATATTAATGTAGATATGAAAATGAAATAACATAGATGCAGAATTCAGATTTAATATTTAAGTGATGAATTTAAAATGTTATTATTGTTTACATGTTAAAATTGGCAGACAGCATTTATTTACTCAATGAATTTGATCTGATTAGGCATGGATTAAACTGATCTGTAATTGAGGAACATTCTAATTAAAGGAAAAGAAAATAGTCACAGTAATTATATTAACAAACAAAAGTATTAATGTTACCACAGATGTGTTTGTAATGACTCATAGATAACCATTTCCTATTAATTCCTCAATAGAATGTCCCTCAGGTATGTAGTCTTTTAGGCCACGTGTCATCTAAAGTAATTTATCAAGAAATAGTCTTATTATATTAAAATTATTTTGCATTTTCACATTTATAAAACATTACAGAATTTGTCTGCTAGCATTTAGTGTTGTGGGAAATTGTACTAATGAGCTGTTAGTGTTGTGGAAGTGTCAAGGTAAAGGGCACTAATTCTAACATACTTGAAACAGTGTCTGAAATGATAATCAATTTATGTTCCAAGTGTTAAAGGGAGGTAATTTTTAATGAATTGACAAAAGTTACTTCCCTTGATTGGTGAATCTCTTTTGTTTTACTGACATTTTCTGTATTTGTGTTTTGCATACTGTGCACAGAAAAAGTCAGAAGGTTGGCTGTGATAAAATTTAGATCAAAAACTTGCTCATAATTTTTCATTAATATTTGCAATGTTCTGCATTTCATTTGTTAACTCCAATTGTTTTTTTTTTTATTTTTCAAGAAGTAGTATAATTTTATGATATGAATTGTGGGTATATGCTCAGATTTTTTCAAGGAGGATGCCATTTTATTCACCACTGTAATCATGATTATGTTAGGGTTATTTTATTTAAGTTATTTGAATTTTATTTTTCAAAGTAATGAAACAACTTTTAGCAAGATTTCAATCTCTGAAAAATGAAATCTAACAATGTGACAATGAAGTATAGTTTCCCAAATTTTTAATTGTTATTTCAGCGTGTTCTTTCATTCTTTTTTTAGTTATTACTGTGTTGATGCATTTTTTTACTAAAATATAGGTTTGATCCCGACACTGTTGATATAGTGACAAAATTTTAGGTCAATCTAATATTAGTATCTTTCTCCAGTTTACTTCCCTTTTATCACACTGCAAAAACAAATACACAGATATAATGAAAAGTATGAATTAAGTGTAGCAATAGAGAAGGATTTTCTTTCCAAAATTACCCCCGTCATAGTAAGCCACTACTCTACTTAGATAAATGAGTTATCCATTAGTGCCAATGGAGAATGATTATAAATCAACTAGGTCAATAGTAGCCTTGCTACATAAACTCTTAAATTTGACTTCCAAATTTTTTCGGTTAAAGATTTTTTTATTCATTATGAAACTGTTAGAAATTAATGTGAGGTTTCTGAAAAAAGTGCAACTGAATTAGATTCAGTTATTTAAGAGTCATACTTTTATTCTGTTCATGCGTAATTCAAAGGTGGCATTAATAGATTTTGCATTCACACCAATTAATACATATATTTATGTCCAAATTTATAGTAGGGAATTTCCCAATACTAAAAAACTGTGACATATTTACCCCATTACAAAGGGAGGGCACTTTTTATATAACAATGATTAAATCACATTCAACCTGTTAGATTAATATTGAATGATGATAAATATGTTGTTTAGTGATTATTGTTTATGACACTAGTACTGCCAAATGATTATGTTTCTATGTTGTGTTGTCTTCTAACTAAATCATTATGAGATCCAGTTAAATGTCCACAAAGTTATCACTTATAAATAATTTCCATTTAGGAAATTATAATGCAATCCTGGGACCATTACTTTGACATTATTTTATATTTGATATTTACATTTATATCGCTTAAGCATAATAAAGAATTTCTGACAATTTTTTAGTTTCCTTTCTACAGTTGGAATTATTATACCCCCACTTTACAAGTAGGGGCTACATTGCATTTACTAGTTTCCTATGTCTATATAAAAATAAGGAGATGTGGTATTATTGTCAATGAGACAACTATCCACCAAAGTTCAAATGAAGTGGATGTAAGCAATTATAGGTAACCGTATGGCCTTTAATAATGAGAAAAAACCATACCATATAGTCAGCTATAAAAGGCCCTAAATATCTATGTCACACTTTTCTCAGTTGGTCAGAGCTTAACAGTGATCAATTGTGAGCACTTTGTAGATCTGACAGACACCTTTGCCTGCATAGGTACTCTGTGAAAGTACAGAATGTGCCAAATTCTGGGAATGAGGAAAATTGAACATTTTGTAAAGGAATATATGTACAGGAACAAAGACTGTTGAAATCTGGAAATCTTTATAGATAATTAATGGTTCTTCAAACGAGAGGGAGTTTCTCCAGTACATTGTACTACTGTACTAAACACAATGACTTCATATTTGGTCAGTAGCTTAGCAGTGATGAGTTATAACCTGTGAGCCCTTTACAGATCTGACAGACTCTACTGCCTGCTTCTTGATAGGTGACAACATGTGCATTTTTATAATATTTATTTGTACATCAAGTGTAAAAATACCATTGGAAGTTCAATTTATGATTTGAAATCAGCCACTCGTTCTCACAGCTCGAATGACCCCGAGTATTTTGGCCAAGCTCAATAAAAATGAATAAAAGGAGATGTGGAGTATATGTTGATCGAGACAGTTACCCAAAATACAGGCTCCTGGCTTTGAACACACATACAGGCTCCTCGCTTGGAACACACATAGATTCTTGGCTTGGGATAGGCAAATACAAAAATACAGGCTCCTGGCTTGGAACACACATACAGATTCTTGGCTTGGGATAGGCAAATACAAAAATACAGGCTCCTGGCTTGGAACACACATACAGATTCTTGGCTTGGGATAGGCAAATACAAAAATACAGGCTCCTGGCTTGGAACACACATACAGGTTCTTGGCTTGGGATAATATAAGCAAATTCAAAAATACAGGCTACTGGCTTGGAACACACATCCAGGTTCTTGGCTTGGGATAGGCAAATACAAAAATACAGGCTCCTGGCTTGGGACAGACATACAGGTTCTTGGCTTGGGATAGGCAAATACAAAAATACAGGCTCCTGGGTTGAGACGGACACATACAGAAATACATATTCCTTATACTTGGGACAGGCACGTACAGAAATACAGGCACCTTGCTTTAGACATGCACAGATAGAAATACAGGCTGTTTGATCAAACAAAGGGAATGTTTGACAAAAAAATGTAGCCAAATATGCTATTCTCTAATGAAATATTATTTTTTTTACAAAAATGAAACCACACAAGAGATGTGTGGTATAAGTCAATAGTTTAATGGTATGTATACCTTGTACTTTGAAGTAGCGGGGTTATATAACTTTTGACATGTTTGTCTGTCTTGATAGGTCAGTCAATTTTGGTTTGTGAATAGTAACTTTAGATACTTATTTGGGATTAGAATCAGACTTGGATTTATGGTCAAATATTTCTTATCAAAAAAAAGATCTCTATCAAGTTTGAGGTCAAGTTGTTAAAACATCATGGTCACAGATACTTTAAACTGACACACATTGGTGTAGAAAAGGGGTTCAGGGATGATGACTCAAAGATTTTTTTTTATAACCCCTACAAACAGAGTTTCAAGAGGGTACATAGCGATCACTCTTACATGTGACTGTTAAGTGCAATACCTCCTCCAAAGCCAAATGGGTAATGAGGAATTTTACACATTTGTAGAACTCTATCTGTGGGTGTACAATTCTGTATAATTGATATACATGGTGATTTGTAAACATAGTTCCACATATTAAAGGGGAGATAATCAAATTCACTTACTTCTGTATTGCAATATGTGAAATTATCTCCCCTTTAATGTGTGAAACTATGTAAGCACAACTCTTCCCATAAACAGCTAGACAGATATTTATGAAACTTTACACTGTCATGAAGACTACCTGAAGATGTGCATAAAGACATATAATTTCTGTCTTATATCTGAAAGGAGAGATAATTGAATATTTATACTTCCATATATGCCAATATGTGGTAATAGTCTCTCGAAATCCCAAGTCTGAAAAGACTTAATGGCTGTTGATGAAATTTTACACAGGTGTAGAAAACTACCAAAGGATGTGCATAAAGAGAATTATCCCTGTCCTATGTTGTTAAAGATAATCAAATATACTTACTTCAATATTGCACTTTGTGGTAATAACTTGCAACTCCACCTCAAAGGCTGTACTGATTTTGATGAAACCTACCCAATGATGTGAGTGAAGGGAGATAATCCTGGTCCTTACTATGTATTAGTCTTGTTAGAAAGTTGCTTGATAATGAAGTGCATCTTATTCCAACATTTTATTCTTTATTTCTCATCCAAAAATATGCTAGCACATCATGGCCTTCAACAATGAGCAAAACCCACACAGCATGGTCAGCTTTAAAAGGCCCCAAAAATGACAAATGTAAAACAATTCAAACAAGAAAACAAATGACCTGAAGGTATGTATTTGGATGTACATACTGATTTTTTTTTTTTGGATTATGCATAATTTTTTAATTCGCAATTCAGGCTTTTGATTTTCTTTTTGAATTGTTTCACATTTTCTCATGCTACATTTGTAGCTACAAGGTTTTGACAGTCTAATGGTTATCTACATCATTACCTTTTGTCTCTGGTGGACAGTTGTCTCATAGGCAATAATATCTTATTTTTATACTAATCATGAATACTATAAGTCAACACAATAGTTGATCACTGTACCATGAAGTTGAGGTCAAGGTCGGCTGCAGACATTTACAGCTTAACTTGAGTGTTCCCAAATTGCATCTATTTTGACACCTTCATTTATTTCAGAAACAGACAAAAGATTCCATTCTGTGTTTATTTTGTAAATGTATCCTTATTTACTACATTTTGCATTTATTTCTACATAACCCACAAATGATCCAAGATTCTCTAATGAGGGATACCAAAATTGCACCATGCTTAATTTCGCATCCATAAAAATCAAATAACTGATGTTTTTATTTTTTTTTTTTAACAATTTGACAATAGTCTATGTGCTTTATGCATTTTGTACAAAATGGATGTCTGTAGTTTCTCATTTTTAAAAGTTGACTTTTTGTGGACGTCAAGGCAGGCCTCATGCAATGTTTCCCTAAATTACAATTTTTTCACTGGCAATTCATCTGTTGGTATACATGGTATATAATGTTGCCATTTTGTGTATCTTTAAGAATATTTAGCTATTTTGAAAGACTTGCATAATGATAAAAGATATGAACTGTGTAGTCTCTTATAAAGAGATCTGTCACTCTTTAAGCCAATCTATACACATTGGGTGCTTGGAGCAATTTGGGTACTGTGACATTACAATCCTGTACATGTACACCAAATACAAAATACACATCATGTACATGTACAATGTATAGTTCTAACTTCTAAATTCAAATATTTTATTGGATAAAGCAAATATGATAAATTGCATAATCCAAGTGTACAACATACATGACATATACAACATAACAAATTATGCAAATTAAACAATGCATGACAAGAGAAACTTCTAATGATTATATTAAATCATGTTCTTGTACACTGTCAAAAATAGTATAATACTTAATATTAATAATCTTAATTTTTTTTTCTTCAATGCTACATGTTTATATTGTTTAATGTCTATCGTTTTGTCATTAATATGCCTGTCTGTCTGTCTGTCTGTTTGTTTGTTTTGTTTTGGTTTTGTATTGGTTTGTTTATTTAGTAACAATCCTATTGTTTGGATTTTAAACTAATAAAATTCTTATTCTTATTCTTATTCTGTACATGTATTGTTGCATCACCATGATCACCTAGGAAAACTTAAATATCAGAATGCTCATAAGCAATACATAAAAAAGAATTATTCTCAATTTTATTATAATAAAAAAAAATATTATACATGTATAGTATACATGATTATCCCCATTCTTTGAGCTCAAGGTCTAAGAAACTATCTGGTGGAGGCGGTACAAGCGATGGTGGCAAGTTTGCAACAGTTTGTAAGAATGTTGGTATACTATATTTTGGAATCACTACTCCTGAATGTATATTTTTTCCTTCTTTCTGATCAAACTTTTGACCACTCTCAATCTTCTGTAAAAAAGTTTTGAGATCCTCATCATTTTTATCCTTCTTTATGTCTTGTCTCTTGTATTTTTTTGTTTTCATTTCTGTTGCTTGAGTTCTCAGTTGTTCCTTTTCATCTTCACGTAGATGAGAAAATCTGCAACTATCAAAGAAAGTGCATGTCCCACTTTGCAAGAAATGTTTACATGGCTTCTTGTTGATTTCTTCAAATAAGAGTATTTCGGGATCCCGGAATGAATCGTAATGCTGCTTTCTGTTTCTTTGATGCGTGGTTCCATTCATATGATTTTTCCTTGCTACCGGGTTATCAGCAAACGATTTATCGCAAAAATCGCAATAATAACGTCTTGGCATTGTGCGAAATAATTTTATGTTTCTGACGGAAGTTTAGATAAGTTTGAAAAATCGAAAACAATTACGGTTCCCGGAAAAAGCGTCATAGAGATGTTGTGCAACAACTTTGCTAAATTTACTGTTTCTACATAAAATCAATATTTGACCGTCAAACTATAAGTGTAGTGCTAGGTAAGCTGATCTTTCAGAAGGTAATAAACACTTCCTTAAGTGACAAACATGTAAAATGTTCGAAATATTAGTTGTGAAAAAGGGGAGTACTCCAAGTCTATCTTTAACACTAATAGCAGCAAAACATATATATATATATATATATATATAAAAATAATGAGATGTGGTATGATTGCTAGGGTCGCAATGAAGTAGATTTTTTTGACACAAAGACGTACTTGCATGCAAAAACAAAAAAC